GATTGTGCCTTTAAAACCGATTTGGCAAATCAAGAGTGTATGCATAGGGATTGTGCCTTTAAAACCCACTTGACAAATCAAGAGTGTATGTGTAGGGATTGTGCCTTTAAAACCCACTTGGAAAATCAAGAGTATGTGTAGGGATTGTGCCTTTAAAACCCACTTGGCAAATCAAGAGTGTATGCATAGGGATTGGGCCTTTAAAACCCACTTGGCAAATCAAGAGTGTATGCATAGGGATTGGGCCTTTAAAACCCACTTGGCAAATCAAGAGTGTATGCGTAGGGATTGTGCCTTTAAAACCGATTTGGCAAATCAAGAGTGTATGCGTAGGGATTGTGCCTTTAAAACCCACTTGACAAATCAAGAGTGTATGTGTAGGGAATGTGCCTTTAAAACCCACTTGGAAAATCAAGAGTATGTGTAGGGATTGTGCCTTTAAAACCCACTTGACAAATCAAGAGTGTATGCATAGGGATTGGGCCTTTATAACCCACTTGGCAAATCAAGAGTGTATGCGTAGGGATTGTGCCTTTAAAATCCACTTGGCAAATCAAGAGTGTATGCATAGGGATTGTACCTTTAAAACTGATTTGGCAAATCAAGAGTATGTGTAGGGATTGTGCCTTTAAAACCGATTTGGCAAATCAAAAGTGTATGTGTAGGGATGGTGCCTTTAAAACCTACTTTGCAAATCAAGAGTGTATGTGTAGGGATTGTGCCTTTAAAACTGATTTGGCAAATCAAAAGTATGTGTAGGGATTGTGCCTTTTAAAACCGATTTGGCAAATCAAAAGTGTATGTGTAGGGATGGTGCCTTTAAAACCTACTTTGCAAATCAAGAGTGTATGTGTAGGGACTGTGCCTTTAAAACTGATTTGGCAAATCAAGAGTGTATGTGTAGAAATGCAGTGGCGGATCCAGCAAAATGTATTGGGGGGTCCAAGCTTCGCTTAAGATATACAGAGCGTAAATCGCAGAGAAGCTATGCGTAATCCAGATGATATGAATCGTCATGCGTTGGGGGGGGGGATGCCCCCCCTGGATCTGCCACTGCAGGAATGGTGCCTTTAAAACTCACTCTGATCATTTAAGGATGCTGTATAGGTTTTTGGTATTGATTTTCTAAACGGGTGTTTCCATATAAAATATTTACTGAACCATACAAAGCTATATATTGATGGAAAGCTTATTTCACACTGAATGTGAAATCGACAAGATAGTGTGTGTATGGACGTGTAAAGTCACATGATCTCTGTGTAAACACAGAAGCCATTTTCGGTAAAAAAATAATTGAACCAATGAATAAACGAATTTAGTGGAACATTGGCAACAAAACAGTTTTTCAGACGATGCTCACCACCATTCTGCGTTGATTGAGATATATATCTACATGATAGTTGGAGAAGAAATAATAATTTAGCTATCTTGAAAAAACAATGCGATCTTGTTCTTTTCGGTATTCAGAAATTAGAACGTAATTTCGAAACAAATAGGAAAATAGAAAAATCCCAGCGCCGCTTGAGAGGCAACATATCGAAGAGTGTCTGTGCGAAAAATTAGTATAATTCGTCCACTATAACTCAAGATCAAAGGTCTGCAGTTGCCGTGAATCGCTGTTTTGTTTAACCGAGAAAACGGCAAAAACAACTTAGCAGCAACGTATCGTTGGCTAACTCAAAATCCGTTTGTCCCTTGGATCAAAACAAACTCATAACGACTAGTCATGGTATCTGTCTGTCATAGTCACGCAGATGTGTGGATATGCGTGGTTGCAATTGGTTATAAAGTACGAAATTATGCTTCCGAATCCAATAGGAAACACTGTTTCACGGCGTGACAAAGTCGCGCCAAAATGACGTCATGATTTACATATTCAGGAGACACTCCTTTTCTGGAAGACTCATTACCATACATTGCCTTCTATGGAAGGTCATTCTCTTGCTCCGCTGCTGAACCAGTAACCGTGGCTGAACGCACCACCAGAGTCAACTACATGTAGTTTTCTTTCAAAGTTTTGTTTTTACAACGCGAGATGTCTCGACTAAGATCTGTATTATCTGATTTGAATGGCAATGGGGGTGAGAGAAGTCACAGCGAGTACTGAACTGAATCGGGAGTTGCGATCGCTTGGGTTTAAAATTGTCTGTCCACCGGGCGATGAATTTTCAGTTTGTTTGCTTTTGCGTTATTATTTTGTAGATTTGTGAAATAACCTGTTCGCCATAAATCGAGTTTTCAGTTTTTTAGTTCCCAAAACTGTTGTGACAAAATTAGTGTGAAGATTCTTCTTCCATCTTCAACGCGTAATGCATAGTACCGGAACAACCGCTGGCGGGGACCACTCGGTATCTTACATTCAGTTCACTTTCTATATCATGTACAACAAATCTAACTTAATTGAATCCGTCAAGTTTATTGAGAATGTGAAGATTAAGAAAAATAAAACAGGTAAAACAAGGATGCTCACACACACAGACGCGTACGTTTTCTTTTACAGCTGATTGTCTCAGGCTTTACGTGTGGCCACGTGTTGAGGGACGGTGGTGTGGCCAAGTGTTTCACTTCCGACTCATTGTGGTCGGAGTCCATGACACGTAATTTGGTCACGAAAACTAAGTCTGCCATGTGCTCAAATTTTCTACATTCTGTTTATACCTCCATGGTCTAGTCGATAAAATCGTGGAAGGTACTAACGTTAGTACCTTTCATGATTAAATTTTAATAATAATCGCTTTACATACTGTCAACGTTCTTCTCCAAATTTCTTTGGATTCGTTTTCTTTCGTCACTGTCATAGTCGACCCCAAGACGGTTTCATAATCGACTGTTTGAAGAGCGAGAAATTCAACGAAATTAATACTTGTATTACTAGTCTGAGCTTGTACTGAATGCAAGAGACTGTTTATATTTGCTATGGGTGGTGACTATTATGCAAATTATCTGTCTATTATGTCTTTGGCTGATTAATTAAAACATAGCTTTCAAAACAATGACATGTGCTTTTGTTTTTAATTAACAAAAATTGATTTTTACACCCTATAAAAACATCCAAATCACTTTTTTTCCTACTGAGTGTTTGCTCTTTGTAGTCAAGCATTGAAAAATACAAAAAAGTAGAATTTTGGGTTTCAAAGCAAAAAAACCTACACAGCATCCTTAAGGCTGGGGTTGTGGATGCAAGTGTGAATATCTGTATCAATTCCAATGTTTCTGCCTTTTTCGTAGTCTTGAGAAACAGTATTTCAATATTGCTAGAAAAACTGTTATGTTACGATGTTGTTTCATTCTTTCTTGCGATGACAGTAAAGATATTCACAGAACTCTGGAAAAAAATGCCAAGAGTAAATGGCGGCAATGACAATACAGATAACGGCCAACATTGTATGCCGAATAAGTCCATCTCCTCATCATACAAACTATAAACTACAATTTCAGAATCTGTGAATGTAAATAAAATTTGTATGTCTAATTTCTGTTCCCATGTTATGAAATATAAAGTAAAGGGACGAACATTGCATTGCATGGCGTTAAAACAGTATGTGAAATTGCTGGCATGTACATTTATTTCTTTGCTATGCACGTTT